ACATTCAAATCGCAATAATAAATTCAGAGGAAATTATCGCGGTAGAGGAAATGGCCGTGGCAACTACCACAATAATGGCTATAACCAAAACAACGGATACTACCAATCCAATGGTTATAATCAAAGCTATAATAACTACACCAATAGAGGTCGTGGAAGTTATAGAGGTAATAACCGTGGTGGATCCAACAATAATAATTATAACAATAATAACAATGCCAACAACAACACTAATAACAATACAAATAATAACTCAAACAGACAGAACACTAACGTTCGTCAAATACAAACTAATTCGGAAAACCAATAAAAACCCTTAAGATAGAAAATACAATAAAAAATACGGTTCATACTCTTAATTTAAATTTCAACCTATTTGTCTCTCTAAAAAATGAAAAATCACGTAAATCATATACATTACTAGTAGATACAGGTGCAGACATATCATTATTAAAAGAAAATACAGATTCATTTCATGATATAGATTGCACAGAAATTTCACAAATATCTGGTATTGGAGAGGGAACAACAAACTCAAAAGGATTAGTATCAATAGAACTTCTTTCAAATAATTACGCTATACCACACAATTTTCATTTAGTAGATGCACAATTTCCGATTCCATGTGATGGAATAATAGGAATAGATTTTATGAAAAAATATAATTGTCAAATAGACCTCACACCAGAAAGCGATTGGCTTATCTTGAGACCAAGCAATATTTGTAATACTATCAACATTCAAATACTTCATACACTTGAAAACAATTTAACAATTTTACCAGCTAGATCCGAAGTTGTCCGAAAAATTAATTTACAATCAGCAACCGGGTATATATTCATACCAAACCAAGAAATAGAAAATGGAATTTTTATTGGAAACTCCATCGCAGATTCTAAAAATACATTTATCCGAATTCTTAATACAACTAATAAAGACACAATAATTAAATTAGATGCAATAAAAACTGAACAGCTAGATAATTACAATATAATAATTCCAGATACAAATCCCAACCACATAGAAACCCTAACCAAACTGAAGAAAAACTTTCCATCTCAGTTTAAATCAGTACTCACAGAATTATGCACCAAATATACAGATATTTTCGGAGTAGAATCAGAATCAATAACTACTAACAATTTTTACAAACAAAAAATACGAATGAAAGATGATGAACCAGTATATATTAAAAATTACAGAATTCCACACAGTCAAAAACAAGAAGTAGAAAAACAAGTCGAAAAACTTATTAAAGATAAAATAGTAGAACCATCAGTCTCAGAGTATAATAGCCCACTATTAATTGTACCAAAGAAATCTCTACCAGATTCAAATGATAAAAGATGGCGTTTAGTAATCGACTATCGCCAAATAAATAAAAAAATTTTATCCGATAAATTTCCACTCCCAAGAATAGACGATATTCTTGACCAATTGGGTAGAGCTAAATACTTTTCATGTTTAGATCTGATGTCAGGATTTCATCAAATAGAACTCGAAGAAAATTCTAGAAATATAACGTCCTTTTCCACCAGTAATGGCTCTTATCGTTTCACTAGATTACCTTACGGTTTAAAAATAGCACCTAACTCTTTTCAAAGGATGATGACAATCGCATTTTCAGGCATTGAACCTTCTCAAGCATTCTTGTACATGGATGACCTAATTGTCATCGGATGTTCTGAAAAACACATGATTAAAAACCTTACAAACGTTTTTGATTTATGTAGAAAGCACAACCTTAAATTACACCCCGAAAAGTGTTCATTTTTCAGGCATGAAGTAACCTTCCTAGGTCACAAGTGCACTGACAAAGGTATTCTACCAGACAGTAAAAAATACAGCGTTATAGAAAAATACCCAGTCCCAACCGACGCAGACAGCGCTAGAAGATTCGTAGCATTTTGTAATTACTACAGGCGTTTTATTAAAAATTTCTCCGACTACTCACGTCATATAACAAGACTGTGCAAAAAGAATGTAAAATTCGAATGGACAGATGAATGTCAAAAGGCATTTGATTATCTGAAAGTCCAACTGATGAAACCCACATTACTACAATACCCCGATTTTGATAAAGAATTTTGTATAACAACCGATGCAAGCAAAAAAGCATGCGGAGCGGTTTTAAGTCAAAACTATAATGAAACACCACTACCAGTTGCATACGCATCAAGATCATTCACAAAGGGAGAAAGTAATAAAAACACAACAGAACAAGAATTAGCAGCTATTCACTGGGCAATAAACCATTTTCGTCCATATATTTATGGCAAACATTTCACAGTTAAAACAGATCATAGACCACTAACATATTTGTTCTCAATGACTAACCCAAGTTCAAAATTAACTCGCATGAGACTCGATTTGGAAGAATACGACTTTACCGTAGAATATCTTAAGGGGAAAGACAATCACGTAGCGGATGCATTATCCCGCATAAATATAGACGAACTAAAAGAAATAAATAGAAACATATTGATGGTACAAACTAGATCATCAAAAAGACAGGAAAACATCTGGCCAGATGAAAACAAAAAATTGCATACAAATATAAAGGAACCTTATCAAATGATAAAGGAGCCCAATAAAAATATAAAAGAGCCCAATGTCTATGAAGTCGTTAATAATAACGATGTAAAGAAATTCGTGAAACTAAAAATAAATCATTCCAAATGTTTATTTAAACAAGGAAAAATAATTATTTCACAATTTCCAATTAATGATTTGTATTCTAATGAGAATCTTGACCTAGCTCAATTTTTTCAAAGGCTTAATTCAGAAGCCAGTTTACAAAAAATTGTTAATTTACAGGTGTCACCAAGTGAACAAATTTTCGAATATGTATCACTCAACAATTTTAAAAATATGGGCAATGAATTATTAAAAAATTTAAAAGTAGCGCTACTAACAAAAGTGACCCAAATAGACAAAAAAGATACAAATCTTATAAATGCAATCCTGTCAAAATACCATGACGATCCAATCGAAGGAGGCCACACAGGAATTACGCGTACCCTGTTAAAAATCAAAAAATTATACTATTGGCCCCAAATGACTAAAACAATAACAAAATATGTAAAAACATGTATGAAATGCCAAAAAGCAAAAACAACAAGACATACAAAAGCACCAATGATTTTAACAAACACCCCTGACAAAGCTTTTGACACTGTTCTTATAGACACCATTGGACCATTACCTCGTACGATAAATGGCAATGAATACGCAGTCACTATAATCTGTGACCTCACCAAATATCTTGTTACTGTACCAGTTGCAGATAAAAGCGCAAAAACAGTTGCTAAAGCAATATTTGAATCCTTTGTACTCAAGTACGGTCCTATGAAGACGTTCATAACGGATAAAGGTACTGAATACAAAAATGAACTAATACAAGACTTATGCAAGTATATGAAAATAAGTAATATACAATCCACAGCTTATCACCACCAGACTTTAGGAACAATAGAACGAAGCCATCGAACATTCAATGAATACATTCGTTCGTATATTTCAATTGATAAAAATGATTGGGATATATGGTTGAATTATTTTACCTATTGTTTCAATACTACACCTTCGACAGTCCATGAATACTGTCCTTACGAACTAGTTTATGGAAAAATGCCAAAACAATTCCAAGAATTCGACAAATCAACTGTAGTCGAACCAGTCTATAATATAGATGACTATGCAAAAGAATTTAAATTCAGATTGCAAATGGCACAAAACAGAGCCAAACAGTTAATAGAAAAAGAAAAAGTAAAAAGAAAATCTGAATATGACAAACAAATTAATGATATACAATTAGAAATAGGAGATTTAGTTATGCTAAAAAATGAAACAGCTCATAAGCTAGAAAATAGATATTTAGGACCATACAAAGTTATAAATGTAGAAGATAGAAATAACATTAAAATAGATACAGGAAAAAAGAACTTCCAAGTAGTAAATAAAAACAGGTTAAAAATTTATAGACATTAACATCCGTATATAAAAAAAAAAAAAAAAACGGCCTGATCAACCGAAACAAAAAAAAATTTTATATTCATCCAATTTTCATATTATTTTATTAATAAAAATAATTATCATAGGTTTTAAATACAATAATAATAAATCAACATTTTCTGATTCGAAAAAAAAATTTCTTTTACAAATATATAATAAAAAAAAAAAAAAAAAAAATATATTTTATCTATATTTTCCAATTTTTATATTTTTTATACAAAACAATTTTTAACAATTTTTAAGTTCTAAAATATATATTATAAAAAAAAAAAAAAAGAAAAAATTTTTAATTTTTTTTAATAAATATTTTCAAACATACATTTTATGACTAGAAAATAATTTTATTTTACTACACTTACAATTTTTATACATATATATCTATATTCCTATTAAAATAACTTCATAATATTACGTTATTTTTCAAAAGGAGGGAGATGTAATATGCATGTATTGTGTATCGAATACCCACTGTACCAATACTAACATTGTGCAACAGTGTACTAAAATATATAAAAAGTCCCGGCCATCAAACTCAAGTGGCCAGCCGAAATATGATCATGCCTCAGAGCTTAACATGGGAAATGCAAGTGTCAGCATATTCCCACTGCCTGAGTGCACATATATACAGTACATGTGTATACAACTTCTCTCGCGCTCTTAGCCTTATGTGTGAGCATAGATATTCATATATATTGTTCTTATATACATGTAGCCGCTGCTGACCGCTGCCGGCGTAAGTCGACAGCTCAGCCGCAAAATACTTATTGTAAGCGAGCACTCTCAATCTGGAACTCAAATAATAAAGAACAATATTGGCCTGTTGGTCATCGGATATATTTTGTGTTCATTTATACTTAAAACAACTAACTGAAATATCTCGTGGCAACTTCAGATCTTACACTGGATAAATATAAAAAAAACTAAATACCTTTTTAAATTTTCATTATTCTATACTTACAATAAACTCATTTACGTAACTTTTTCAGGTTCTGGAGCGAGCAATGTATCACTTTGAGAACTGCTACCGGATTCCCAACGTGCGCGTGGGCGGATGGGTGTGCAAGACGAACCTGCCTTCGAACACGGCCTTCCGTGGCTTCGGAGGTCCCCAGGGAATGTACGCCGGCGAGCACATTATCCGGGATGTGGCCCGGATAGTGGGACGCGATGTGGTGGATGTGATGCGATTGAATTTCTACAAAACAGGCGACTATACGCACTACCATCAGCAACTGGAGCACTTCCCCATCGAGCGGTGTCTGGATGATTGCCTAAAGCAGTCGAGGTACGAGGAGAAGCGTTTGGAGATCGCTCGATTCAATCGGGAGAATCGCTGGAGGAAGCGTGGAATGGCAGTGGTTCCCACGAAATATGGCATTGCCTTTGGTGTCATGCACTTGAATCAAGCTGGTTCCCTGATCAATATCTATGGAGATGGTTCAGTGCTGTTGTCCCACGGAGGCGTTGAGATCGGACAGGGTCTGAACACCAAGATGATTCAGTGCGCCGCCAGGGCTTTGGGTATTCCCCCAGAACTGATTCACATCTCGGAGACGGCGACGGATAAGGTGCCTAATACTTCTCCCACGGCGGCAAGTGTGGGATCCGATCTCAATGGAATGGCCGTTCTGGATGCCTGCGAGAAGCTGAACAAGCGGCTGGCTCCCATCAAGGAGGCTCTGCCCGGCGGCACGTGGAAGGAGTGGATCAACAAGGCGTACTTCGATCGCGTCAGCCTCTCGGCCACCGGATTCTACGCCATGCCAGGCATCGGCTATCATCCGGAGACCAATCCCAATGCCCGAACCTACAGCTATTACACGAATGGCGTGGGCGTCAGTGTGGTGGAGATCGACTGCCTGACTGGCGACCATCAGGTGCTCAGCACGGACATCGTAATGGATATCGGATCGAGTCTGAATCCGGCCATTGACATTGGACAGATCGAGGGAGCCTTTATGCAGGGCTATGGACTATTTACGCTGGAGGAGCTTATGTACTCGCCCCAAGGAATGCTCTACTCGAGGGGACCGGGCATGTATAAGCTGCCAGGATTCGCCGACATTCCCGGGGAGTTCAATGTCAGTCTGCTGACTGGGGCCCCAAATCCGAGGGCTGTCTACTCCTCCAAGGTAGGAACTTATTGCTAATGATCTGCGATTTTAAAACGATATTGATTTCCTATATTTTTTTAACAGGCCGTTGGGGAACCACCGCTCTTCATAGGCTCATCAGCCTTCTTTGCCATCAAGGAGGCCATTGCAGCTGCTCGCGAGGATCAGGGTCTGAGTGGAGACTTCCCACTGGAGGCGCCCTCCACCTCGGCGCGTATTCGAATCGCCTGTCAGGATAAGTTCACCAATTTGGTAGGTGTTACTTAAGAAAAGTTTTAAATAGAAAGAACAATCAATTTATACTTTAATCTTCACAGCTTGATACACCCGAGGCCGGAACTTTCACCCCATGGAACATTGTGCCTTAGAAATTGTTTCCATTAAATAAATGTGTAATTTCGGTTTTAATTTTAAATTTGTTTTTGTATAAACTTGTAGCAAATAAATGTTTTAAAATAAATTGGGACCATTAATTTAAAATACATTTTATTTTTAATTTAAATAATAAATATACATATGTATAAAATATTCGAACACACATAATATTGGACCATATCTTAAATTTGTGGAAGTAAACAAAAAAACACATGTCTTAATAGTTTACTCACTTGAGAATGGTGTACTTTAAAGGTTCTTAGTCAATACACAGAAAAAAAAGGTCGGGTTAAAATGGGATAAAATTTAATACAAATAAAAGTTGCAGAAAAAATAAAATACATTGAAGTAATAAAAATGATCATAAAAATAACGATAAAAGTGCAAATGTACTTATTTTTCTGTTTTTCTCTCGTTTTTTGACGCGAAATTTTAAGCGCAAGTCTCAGGTTATGCGAGATGAGATCTTCGCAAGCAACTTATTCGGCATTCGAACGCCGTGGAGTGTAGACATCAGCGATGAGGTCGCTTAATTGCTTGCTTCTTGAGTTCGTGTTGATTTCAGCATCGTCATTTTTATGGGCCAGTCCACAAAACTATTACTACAATGGATATACACAGAGTTCGCCGTGGAATGGAGTAAATCCCTCGTATCTTTCGATTGATACCTACGGAAATTGCCAGGCCCACGATCGTCCTTTGGTGGGAAAATGTGTGAGGTACGTGGATTGCATTAGTGCCATGCAATCTGTGCCCCGAGTGACGCCATTACTCTGCCCATCGGTGTGGCCCAATCAACTGGTGTGCTGTCCACATGGCGGCTACGTGATTCCGACACCCAGGGTTTCGAAGAGCCAAGAAGCCTGTTCGTCGGCCTATCCAAGAGCTCATCATAAGCGCCGTCGACGTCGTCGTCGAAATACTAACCATAATAAAGAGCAAGTGGAACTAGTTGAGCCAATTATCCAGAAGCGCAATCAGAGCGATAATTTCCTGGTGGGTGGCAGGTTAACCCTGGATAACGAGCATCCTTATATGGTAAGTAAATCATAATACAAGGAAACAAAGAAATCAATATTTTAAAGAGTATTGAAAAATATAATTTTTATACTATTACTTTACTCTTGAATGTAAATTTCATTTTTACATCTGATTAAATGTGAAAATAAATATTGCTGTTTTAAAAGTAATCTTATCTTTTTCCTTAGAAATTATTTGAATTGCTTTGTAATTTACTTTCGTTCGTTTATTTTACAGTGTGCCCTCGGTTGGCCATCCCGCACAAATAGATGGATCCACCAGCACGGCTCCAGCAAGCGGCGATATATGTTTAACTGTGGCTGTGTCATGATTTCGCCTCGGTTCGCCATAACGGCCGCCCACTGTGCCAACGTCGGCGGGTGAGCAGCAGAAATACAGCAAATACTCGAAATGCTAATGGGTTTGTTTCTTCAAAACGAACAGGGAACCCCCGTCCGTGGCGTTGATTGGTGGCGTTGAGTTGAACAGCGGTCGCGGGCAACTCATTGAAATCAAGCAGATAACCAAGCACCCGCACTTCGATGAGGAGACCCTAATCAACGATTTGGCGGTGATCAAATTGGCCAGAAGATCCCACCATCAAGTGGCCTGCCTGTGGAACCAGGAATCACTGCCCGAGAGCCCGCTGACTGCCCTGGGCTATGGGCAAACCAAGTTCGGTTAGTATTACAAAAAAGTATTAACCCTTTAATTTTTTTAAAAATTTGATCAAATATTTAACAGCTGGTCCGCACTCCAACCATCTGCTGCAAATAATGCTTCACCACTTGAACATTCAACAATGCCAGAGATATTTGCAAAACGATGACAAATTGGTTAATGGCCTGGGATCGGGGCAACTATGCGCGGGGGATTACTCCGGTAATATGGACACTTGTCAGGTGAGTTAAAAAATTAAAGTTAGAAATATTAAATATTTTAAATATTTAAAATATTTTATAGATAGTTCCTTGTAAATGTTTTGATATTTTTAAATTTTTCATATAAATATTTAGTATTAACCAACAACCTCTTGTATTTTAGGGAGATTCTGGAGGACCTTTGTTGCTCCACCAACAAATGCGGCATCAGCATCATAGGATTCCCTATGTGGTGGGCCTAACCTCATTTGGAGGAGCCTGTGCCTCTGGACAGCCGGGTGTGTATGTGAGAATAGTCCACTACATTCAGTGGATAGAACAACAGGTGTGGCCTTGAACCTTCTCTTAAAAATATTGGGATTCTAAATTAACTTACTGTAAATTGTATTAAACATTTATAAAAAGTACCTTCGAGTATTTTTTTTTTATATAGAAATATTTATTGAATTACCAGTAATATATTAAACGTTATTTTCTTGATAAATCATTTGAAAATGTTTGTAAAATAAATAAAATATTTTGTAACTTGTGAAGAGAATATTTAATAAATTAAATTAGTTATTAAAGGTATCAAAAGATCGTTTTAGTGCTGCTTGAAGGCAATCTTCTCGATCCAATCCAGGTAGCTGTACAGCCTGGTGTAAACCCCGGGGGCATTGGGAGCCGCACAGAACTTGCCGAACGAGGTGATGCCCACCACAAAGGCCACGCAGTTGTATTCGGGTAGGATGGCATGGAGTGGACCACCTGAGTCACCCTGGCAAGTATCCCTGCCTCCGGGCAAATAACCCGCACAGAACTGACCCTCGATGATGCCCCTGGGCAGACGTCGTTCCTTGCGATAGATTTGCTTGCAGCTCATCTGGGGAATCACATCGAGGTCCACCTGTCGCAGGACATTCGACTTGGCGCCCAGGAACTCGGTGCGTCCCCAGCCGGCGGCCACAACGGTGGGTATCTGGAGCTCTGGCAGTTGCCACAGGCAGGCGGGACGAACCCATTCCGAAAGCCTGGCCCGCCGGGTCAGCTTGAGCAGCGCAATGTCATGGTAATAGGCCGAGGATCTGTACTTTGGATGAAGCACGATGATCAGGATCTTGATGTCCTGCTGGGACGAGCTGGTTTCGTTCAACTGGCGGGCGCCCAATCGAACCATGTCCGGTGGTTTGCTATTAGATCAAAGTATATTGATTTAGTTCTATCTTAAAGGATCCTGAAACTTACCTACCCGAGGTAGCACAATGGGCGGCGGTCAGGACGTAGAGCTCGCTAACCAGGGCGCCGCCACAGCCCCACTTTATGTCCACGGATTCCTTGGAGCCACTGGAGGCCTGCGTCCATCCCAGGGCCGCCATGTGGGGGAAGAGTCCATGTCGGGTGGGAATTCCGCCCACTATTAAAGGTACACTGGGCACGCATTGCTTCCCGGAGAAAGTGCGTCCGGTGTCGGCCAACTGAAGCCTTCTGGTGGCAGCATTGTACTCCTGGCATTCTAGAAAATATTATAAAGTATTCAGTAGTTACAAATTTAATTGTACATACACCCAAAAAAATCGATATGAAACGTTGAACGATTTTACTTTATTTAAGATAAATTTTAATTTGAAATGCGGCCAGGTAAATTTGAACTGGTCAAAAAGGGTGTTTTATGTAAAAACAAGAAAGGAAGCTACCTTCGGCCAGCCGAAGCTTATATACCCTTGTAGATAAAAGAATACTCACTCCGTGCAGTTCCAGGGATTCAGCGTTTCGATTTATTTCAATTTTGTTTTTAAGTCAAGAATCAAAACGCCTACTTCCTACAAAGTTACAATGAATTTTCTTATATTTGTTTGGGAGCCTTAAGATATAGTGGTCCGATCCGGCTGGCTCCGACATATGTACTACCTGCAATAGAAAGAAGACCTTCGGGAAAGTTTCATCGCGATAGCTTTAAAACTGAGAGACTAGTTCGCATAGAAACGGACAGACGGACAGACGGACAGACGGACAGACGGACAGACGGACAGACGGACATGGCTAGATAGACTCGGCTATTGGTGCTGATCAAGAATATATATACTTTATGTGGTCGGAAACGTCTCCTTCACTGCGTTGCAAACATCTGACTGAAATTATACTACCCTCTACAAGGGTATAATGATATCGGTTTTTGGAAACATGCTTTTTTTGTGTGTAGTTTAAAAACCTAATATATCTATTTTGTAAGTGTGAACTGAAATAAAGTATATTTTTTTGGAAAACCCTTTAATGTTAATTAATTGTTTTAAATTAAATAAATAAAGTATATTTTTTTGGAAAACCCTTTAATGTTAATTAATTGTTTTAAAAATTTAATTCATTAAAACTAAAAAATTATACTCACTAGTGGCGCTGATTCGCTGTGCCAGGACATGTTTGTCGGCCAAAGGACAACAAATGACGGGCACATTATTCCGATGGGTGCAGATGTCGATGCGGGTGCCATGCACCCGATATTCCCGGATGACGTGGAGGCACTGATAGGCCAGGATGCAGTAGCCACTTCGGTCATCGAAACTGCGACGGCAGAAGGCACCCTCGGGAAGTCCTTCGGAAGCGGGGGTCCTTGCCTCTCCATCGTCGCCGAACTTCAAAAAACTCTCCCCTTCCTCTTCGGTCTCCTGAGCATCTTTATCTTCGCCCGTGGACGCAATGGCCTGATCCTCCCAAACTTCGGGGATTGTGTACTTGGTGGTCTGGTAATTGATTATTTCCAGGGCATCGAGAGCTGTGGAAAATAGATCAGTGGTTTACGGATTCCTAAAATATATTTATTGTAATAATTCAGTATTTACCCTCAAGCCGCTGAGTCTGCAGAAGCAAATGCAAGCAGGTCAATTGAAGATGTATGATTAGGGACCAAAGTATTATCATTCTATTGGTAATTTATGGGGATTCATTATTTATTTCTTAGTGCATATTCCAAATAAAGAGCTGCAATAAATGTATTTTAATAAAATATTTTTAAATTCACTAAAATGTGGTAAATTGGCTTCAATTTTTCAGCCACCACTGTGTCCAAAACAAACCCTTGTCTGTCTGTGTGAATGTTTTTTTGTTTAATGTATTTTTATTAATTAATGCGGGCGCTCAATTATAAATTCGGCTGAATTTCAATAAAACTGTTTGCCTGCGCCGCTGTGTTTCTTTTCGCATCGAATTGAATTGTGGATTGGAAGATCCCAGTCGGATTAAATCGGTCAATCGAGCAAGACCTATGTTATACGGATGGCGGATCTGAAGAGACTTTCCGTTTGGATCGCACTGTGCCTGCTGTTGTGTGGATTCCGAGTGAAGGGACAAGGGCAGTGGGCATTTCCCAATCCAAATCCCAATCCCGAGCCGGATCCAAGCAGGTGGGACTTCAACAACTACAATAGCTACGGTTACAACGGTCAGTGGTCGCCGGGCTACGTTAATAACTACGGCTATTATAGACCACAGCCGCCACCCCCTCCTCCGCCCTGCGGAAGGCCCCCACCGCCAGGAGCACCGCCACCGGGTCCACCTCCGCCTGGTCCTCCGCCCGGCTGCCCGGGAGGTCCTCCACCCCCGCCTCCGCCTTGGGATAATGGCCCTCGGCGTTGGCAACCCCGTCGTCCGCCCCCCGATCATCACAGGAACTTTCACAATATCTTCCTGAACACCGAACGCAAAGTGGATGAGGAGAACTACAACAAGACGGCGGAAACGGAGGATTTGCACGATGATTTCAACGGACGATCCATTGTGGCACCTGGCCAGTACCCGCACATGGTTAGTATTTTGTATGGAGGTGCAGTCGAAAAGTCGAAACAAACAAATCAAAGATCAACACAAAACCAAAAAAAAAATCACATGAAACCGGAATGGGGGAAACGCCAAAGTACCGCCGATCACAACACAAATACGACTGAAAACCGATCGCTGACTTGCAAATCGAAGACCTAGACTTGGGCCATCTGATAACAGTTATTGGGGGGTTTACTAATCCTCTCTCTTCTACGATCCACAGGCCGCTCTGGGATTCCGGAATGAGAACCACGAGATCGACTACAAATGCGGAGGCAGTCTGATTAGTGAGTACTTTGTGCTCACAGCTGCCCACTGTTTGACCACTCACGGGTAAGCTTTCGATTTCGATTTCGCTATTACTATCGCTTTTGCTCAGAACTTGGCGAAACCACCTTCGTTATTCGAGTGATTTAACAATGACTGAGAGAATATTTTCCTGGAGAGACACACCTAAACTAAGAGGAACGATTTTGTATTTAAAAGGATTAGACAATATAGCAAAGAAAAATTAAATAAATAAAGTTGAAGATGAAAGACAGGAGCTTTTAAAAAATAGAATGAATTTTTAATCAAATTAGGTTCAAAAAGATAAATTTTTAATTTGTCCAATGGACAATGTCCATTTAAAAACTGGATTACATTTTATATATTAATCAAAACATGTTTTTTTATTGTTTTAATATTTATTTTATATCTGCTTTGAATAGCTGGTATTTCCATGGCATTCCATTAAATTTCAATTAATTTAAATTATAATATTTAAATTACTTTCTTGTAGAACCGCTCCCGACGTGGTAAAAATCGGCGACATTAAACTGAAGGAATGGGAGGACGATGTCGCTCCTCAAAGACGACGAGTGGCGAAAATTTATCTGCATCCGCTGTACAATTCGACACTTAACTACCATGACATCGGACTTATCCAGCTGAATCGACCGGTGGAATACACCTGGTTTGTAAAGCCAGCTCGTTTGTGGCCCAAAAATGAGATACCCTACGGCAAGCTGCATACCATGGGATATGGATCGACAGGATTCGCTCAGCCGCAAACCAACATCCTTACGGAACTGGACCTATCGGTGGTGCCAACAGATCAGTGCAATTCCAGTCTGCCCGCCGATGAAGGTTCTCCCCAGGGAATACTCACTAGTCAGATATGCGCCCATGACTATGAGAAAAATCGGGATACTTGTCAAGTGAGTGTTAATAATTTTAATACAGGTCATGCTTAAAAAAGGTACTTTATTTAAGTTAACAAAAAAGTTAAAAGGATTAGTACTAAATCCTATAAATTCTTACAGGGCGATTCCGGTGGACCTCTTCAGTTGAACCTGGAGCGACGACGTCGCCGGCACAGAAGTCGCAGGCATTATCGCTACTACCTCGTGGGCATCACTTCCTATGGAGCCTATTGCCGCAGTGAATTGCCAGGTAATTTAATTTGAATATATAAGCAATTTTTAAATTCAGTTATAAACTCATGAATCTTTCAGGTGTTTACACGCGCGTTTCATCCTACATCGACTGGATAGCATCTATAGTGTGGCCCAATTACTATAGCGAGTTTACTAATAATTAAAAATAGTCATTAATAAAATTGTGCAATCAGAAAAAAGTGCGTTTGCTAATGTTTTATAAAACAGTTGGCGTTAAAAAAATATCTTTGGTATTTTCCTGCATATAGATTAAATGTCTTGGTTGCTAGGTGCCATTTATTTGGTCAATAATTTCGTCTTCGAACACAAAAATTTATAAAAAATGGTTGGAAAAAGCAAGAAGAAACGAAATAGCAAGGATTCCACATCCAGTAATGCCGGAAGTGGCGAAGGTGAGGAGAAGAAAAAGAAAGAGGGAGGTAAAAAGAAAGGTGGCGTAGGAAAGTCCATTGGTTGTGATATTTTCAATGATGCTGCCATGGAAAATGCCTATTATGTGTGCCATAATGTGCAGGTGAGTTAGAAACTCAATTCCAGATTTAAACAAAACATGTGATTTTTACATACTTAATTAATTTTTTTAGGACGTTCTTAAGTCCAGAGGATTTGCCTGGCCAGATGGACAAAAGAAGAAAAAGAAGGGAAAGCGCTAAGAGAGATATTACAAGCAAAAGGCTTCTTTACAGTAATATAATTTTTAAATTAAATAACAAGAAAAACAATTTTCGAAAAGAAAACGAAAGTAAAAGTTTTCAGATCATCCCCCTCGACCTGTAAAATTGAGAACATATGTACGTGCTTAACGAGCAATGCTCATATTTATTTTTATGAAACCAAAACAAGACATCATTGATCAAGAAACAAACAATTCCAAAAAACGCAGCCTGCCCAAAGTTAAACGTCAGTGGCAAACACACATCTAGAACAAACGTCACAATCTCCAAAATACGAACACATTTTTCGAATTCGGCGTGTGAAAAATATAGGAAAGCAAAATTGTATTCGTTTCGCGGAATGCGAGAAGGCTGCACCATATAAATAGGAGCAGCAGTCGCGGATTTTTCAGTCTAAAATCAGCATTACCAGCTGCAGCATCTAAAGGAGAGGATATTTAAGATACTTAGAAATAATGGTTAAAACACCGGCTATAGGTATTGACTTGGGCACCACCTACTCCTGCGTGGGAGTTTGGCAGAACAGCAAGGTGGAAATTATTGCCAACGATCAGGGAAACCGCACCACGCCCTCCTATGTGGCCTTCAACGACACGGAGCGCCTTATTGGCGATGCGGCCAAAAACCAGGTGAGTCAGGGGCCCCATTATGATTTTCCAAATACGTCGATTGTAGAGTGCTGATATGGCCAGATGAGAATAGCCAGCCGCCTGTAATGATGTGATGCGAGTGATTTAATTGGAATCGTATAGGTACATAAAGAAATCCGAGAGATGCGGAAAATGTGGGTGGTTGGGCGTCTTTCTCTCGAGCACTTGGATATATACATACACATCTATATATCCGATTGGCCTAAGTCAATTTATGCAGGTAAAAGATCCCGAAAAAATATTTTTTTACAAAATACAGTTAAAGTCAAATTTTAAGGTTAGTCTGTGTTTATTTCCCTTTAAATTGGAATAGTGAATCCGCTTGGATTTATGCAGGTAAATCGACAAAATATCATTTTACAAAATACATTTAAGGGCAATATCAGAATATGAAATATTTAAAAAATATTAGTTTGTGTTTACTTCCTTTTAAAATAAAATGATGAATAATTAAAATAAATTCATTTCATAAGGAAACTAATTTTAAAAGTAGCTTTATTAAAATTAAAAAAATTTATATTATATTTTTATTAAATTAAAAATAATATACAATACGGAAATAAATGGGAAGGGCACTTATCAAAAACATTGTAAAATGCGTTTCTTTAAAAGTACATCTAAAAATCTGATTTCCCAGGTCGCTATGAATGCCAAGAACACGGTGTTCGATGCCAAGCGTCTGATTGGCCGCAAGTTCGACGACAAGAAGATCCAGGAGGACCTGAAGCTCTGGCCCTTCAAGGTGATCAACGAGGGCGGCAAGCCCAAGATTGAGGTGGAGTTCAAGGGGGAACGCAAGCGATTTGCACCCGAAGAGGTCAGTTCGATGGTGCTGATCAAGATGCGCGAAATCGCCGAGGTCTATTTGGGTGGCAAGGTGAAGGACGCCGTGATCACAGTGCCAGCTTATTTCAACGATAGCCAGCGACAGGCGACCAAGGATGCGGGTTCCATTGCGGGTCTGAATGTGTTGAGGATCATCAACGAACCCACGGCGGCTGCCTTGGCCTACGGGTTGGACAAGAATCTCAAGGGGGAGCGCAATGTGCTCATTTTCGATCTGGGTGGCGGCACCTTTGATGTCTCCATTCTCACGATCGACGAGGGTTCCCTGTTCGAGGTGAAGGCCACGGCCGGAGACACCCACTTGGGTGGCGAGGACTTTGACAACCGGCTGGTCAATCACTTTGCCGAGGAGTTTAAGAGGAAGCACAAGTCGGACATCAAGGGAAATGCCAGGGCTTTGCGACGTCTGAGGACGGCCTGTGAAAGAGCGAAGAGGACATTGTCCTCCAGCTCGGAGGCTTCCCTGGAGATTGACGCCCTGCACGAGGGCATCGACTTCTACTCGAAGATCTCGAGGGCTCGTTTCGAGGAGCTGAACATGGACCTCTTCCGTTCCACCATGCAGCCAGTGGAGCGAGCCCTCAGCGATGCCAAGATGGACAAGAAGGCGATCGATGATGTGGTTTTAGTGGGCGGCTCCACTCGCATCCCCAAGATCCAGAAACTGCTGCAGGATCTGTTCGGTGGCAAGCAGCTGAATCTCTCCATTAATCCCGATGAGGCGGTGGCCTATGGAGCAGCGGTGCAGGCGGCCATCCTCACCGGCGTGGGCAGCTCCCAGATCCAGGATCTCCTCCTCGTGGACGTGGCTCCTCTTTCGCTGGGCATCGAGACCGCCGGCGGTGTGATGACCAAGTTGGTGGAGCGCAATGCTCGGATTCCCTGCAAGCAGCAGCAGACCTTCACCACCTACAGTGACAACCAGAATGCGGTGACCATTCAGGTTTACGAGGGCGAAAGGGCCATGACCAAGGATAACAACCTGCTGGGCACCTTCAATCTCACCGGCATTCCGCCTGCCCCGAGAGGAGTGCCCCAGATCGAGGTGGCCTTCGATTTGAACGCCGACGGCATCCTGAATGTGAATGCCAAGGATAGTAGCACTGGGCGGACCGAGAAGATCACCATCACCAACGACAAGGGAAGGCTATCAAAGGCGGAGATCGATCGCATGCTCGCGGAGGCGGAGAAGTACAAGGTGGAGGATGATCGTCAGAGGGAAAGGGTTCAGTCGCGGAACAATCTCGAGGGTTACATCTACAGCTGTCGTCAGGCCGTCGACGAGGCTCCAGCCGGTGGTGTCCTCACCGAATCCGATCGCTCCAAGGTGCGCGAAAAGTGCACTTCCGAGGCTGCCTGGCTGGACAAGAACTCGCTGGCCGAGAAGGAGGAGTTCGAGCATCATCTCAAGGAGTGCCAGCGCATCTGCAGTCCCATAATGGCGAAGCTACATGGTGGAGCAGCCAAGGGTTCCAAACAGTCGACGGGAAATGGTGCCCATCCCACCGTGGAGGAGGTGGACTAAGCTAAACTATTTGGCTATTGCAAATGTATTAATAAGTATTTAATTTTGAAAAATAAATGTAACTTATTCGGTTCAATTTTTTATCCATTTGTGTTTCCAATAACTTTAGAGATCGTTAAAAAAGCGTTTCGACTTGGTCTACCTCATCCAAAAACCATTTGATAAAGTCCCAAGTAGATTTGAAAGCTTCACAGCCAACTAGTGAGCTCAAGTAATTTTCCGGGTTCTAAAAATAATTAAATTAAAAATAATTAATAAGGGATCCTCAACTGTGGAGGAGGTGGACTCAGCTAAACTTTAGCTATTGCAAATGTATTAATAAATATTTAATTTTGAGAACTAAATGTAACTTACTTGGTTCACTTTTTCATCCAGTGGTGTTTCCAATAACTTTAGAGATAATAATAAAGTAATAAAGTCCCAAGTAGACTTGAAAGCTCCACAGCCAACTAGTGAATTCTACTGATTTTCCGGGTACTAAAAATAATTAAATTAAATTAGAAAATAATTAATAAGGGATCCAAACAGTCGACGGCGGGAAATGGTGCCCATCCCACTGTGGAGGAGGTGGACTAAGCTAAACTGTTTGACTATTGCAAGTGTAATTTTGAAAACTAAATGTAACTTGGTTTACTTTTTCACCCTAGAACTTTTGGAATCGTTGAAGCACTGTGTTTATATAATACCTTACCTCATCCAAAGACTTTGTAATAAAGTCCCAAGTAGACTTAAAAGCTCCACAGCCAACTAGTGAGTTCAACTGATTTTCCAGGTACTAAAAATAATTTTAAATTCTATTTTCCAACAAGCGAATAGCTTGACGATTAAATTGTTGTGCTAATATATTTAAACATTTAAATGTATTTGAGTGTGTTTGCAATGTTTAGCATATTAACCTTACGATCCCTTTGATAAGCTTGGCACAGCTGGTCGTGTTTTTTTTTCCATTCGACCACCGATCAGTTTCACCGGGAATTTCGTCGTGAAATGGCCGTCGCACCGAGCAAACTTCTGGAGCCGCCCCTGAATCGGGTGCACTGCGCCATTCTGCACAGTCGACCGGGTCAGAGTTGCACAAAGGCCTTGCTTTGGAATCTGTACCGCAACCATGTCTCCAGTGCGAAGTACTATTTACCCTTGTTGCTGGTCTGGTAGTAGATTGTTTTTATACCATTTATACCTTAATTATTTCAGTCAAAAGTTGATTTTTGACAATTTAAAAACAACCTTTTAAATAGTCATATTTGCCAGGGTATATAAACTTCGGCTAGCCGAAGTTAACTTCCTTTCTTGTTATTAAATATTATATTTAAAGGGTTTGAATGGTGTAAATTCGAGAAAAAGAAATACTTTCAAATATTTTAAAATATTATTAAAAATATTTATTTACTTGCAGTTACCCTTGTTACTAAACATTCGACGTCTCTCCAAAAGTTTGGTATCTTCTGTGTTAAAGAACTTTTTGCAATCCGCCAGTTTTGCCGCCTGCATAAATGCCGTCACCTTTTATTTAATGTGCGTGGCCAGGCGTTATAATGGTCGATTTGTGTTATTATTTATCCCTTATCTGCCCTGTTGGGTTGCCTCGCACCTCTGCTGGTTGATGCCTCCCCAGGTTCTTCACTTCTTTGTGACTGGAATAGTTCCTGCAGTAAGTAAATGCATTAATCTTAGAAGAACGATACAAAATGTAAGTCATTTACAGGCCATCGAAAGTTTTTTAAGATATTTTGACGTCGGTTTGGTTCATTCCCGCTTTTCTCAGACTCTGATATTTATGATATCATCGATGGTGGTCCTGCATTATCAGCAGTCCAAAAAGTATTCCGGTTTCTGGTTCATACGACCAGCTTCTTTGCCCGAGGATCACAAGGAGTGGACCATCTCAAAGCAACTGTTGCAGGGGCTCAGAGAATTGAAAACCTACTTGGGAATTGGACTGGGATTGGATCTACTAAATCCCATAACCAAAAGAAACCTAAAACTCTTTCGACCAAAAATGACGAGTTTTTTGGCGGCCTATATTGGATTGTTTAAGGTAAGATGATTAAATAGACAATTAAAGATATTAAATATGAAATATTATGTATATTAAAGTGTTCATTTTTTAATCTTTTTCCAGTTGGTACAATTGCTTCCGTTAAAAAATTTGAATGTAAAACAAGCCAATGCTCTAGCATCCTTTATAAGTGGAGCTTCCTTTGCCCTTCTGCCAAATCGTCTCACCTTCATGTGTTTCGCTTTTGTAACCGCCATCCAGGTGATTTGGCAACAGGTGTGTAATCTTAATGCTGAAAAAGATCCGGTACTTTCGAAGGTGCAAAAGATTCCCTGGTCAAAGCTGCTGATACCTTGTAATCTGGCCTACCTAGTGCACATTTTCTTTTACCACGAACGTCATCTGAACGAACTTGCCCGGAGTTTTATAGACTGCACATGTGATAAAAAGTAAGTTTATGATACAAACTTTTTTTAAGCATATAAAACCATTATAAATTAATTACAGTGGCCAGCGACTGTTGGATCTGATGAATCTGCCCAATATTAACACCATATTAGAAACGGCGAATAAGTCACCAAAAACTTCGTTTTGGTAATAATAAAATGAAATTAGACTTTTCTGGCTATTAATACATTAATATAGATTTTATAGTGTATATATAAATACTATTAAAATTTTTTAGATGTTCAGAAGCAAATCATAATTGGCTTTAAGGTTTGTAACATAAATCGTCACATACTTATAAACCATATTACGTTATAAGCTATGCGCATAAATTATTTGTATCTAATCTCAAAACGGGTTTGGAAGGTGACGAGCCCCTAAATTAATTGCGATATCTGTGACTAGAGAAATGGGAGATATCTCCTATTCTCTGACTGCACCAAATGGAGATGTCTCCGAAGAAATTATTTAAACTTTGGATTAAATTAAGTTATGTTAATTATGGGTTGTTATAAAAATGATTTTATTAAAGCTTTGCTTATTAAGGTAAAATGTATTGGAATATCAGGTCTGCCTAAGAATCTAAAAAAAATTGAACTCAAGCATCATTGGCCAGCCAAATGTCGGAAGTGCAGTCACCGCCAGGATAACGCATTTCATGGGGGAGACTGGGACCATAGGGTTCGTTGCCAAAGTCCACCAAGAAGTCTTCATTTAGGGATATACCACCATTAACTGTATCCACATCAATTAGGACAATGTGACCGCCTTGGGAGACCATTTTTGGATAGAACTGCTTATCCCAGGGGGAATATAATGAGGAAGAGACATATAAGCGCTTGCCATCAAGAGATAGCTGCATCATCTGGGGACCTCCTTCCAATCGGCGACCTTTGACATAACGAGCAGGGGGTCGTTCCTAAAAATAATTTGAGATTATGAAATACCTATCATATATAAAATAATCTCTCATCTACCTTCAGTTCCTTATCTTCCTTAACAATCACATTGGGCAAATCGCTGCATATGGCACCGCCCAGGAAAAGCTGACCCGTCAGCTTGGGATTCTCGGGATCTGTAATATCGTATTGCCTCACATCGCCATGTCGCCAGCAGTTGACATAGAGAAATCGGTCATCCAGGGATATAATAATGTCCGAAATCATGCCGCCCATATCCTCCGCCTTTCCACTGCCGGTATCAACCAGTTTTCCGGGAATATCAATCACCTTCTTGGCCTCAAACTCATCGGAATCGGTTTTTTTCTTGAAGTAGAACACCTTGGCATTGAGGGCACAACCCACGAATCCCTCCGCACGTTTAGGATCGTGAAGGAACCGAATCTCCAAGGGGGTTATACCATCCGATCCCAGATCGATGGTTTGATAGAGAGTCTGCGTGGACCATTTGTAGAAGTTGAGACGGCAGCCATACTGAGTCATGTCATCGAGGTCACCATTCTTCCAGCCACTAAAATAATAATTTATAAAATTTTAATAATTAAAAAAATATATATATCTTAATATAACACGAACCGTCGCCATTTGTTGGGCGCTCCCCATTCCGATGAGACCATTACATCGAAATATGGTTGATACCAGAAATCGTAACCACACAATGCCTTCTTCTCTCCCTTTGTCCAAGTGCCAATGCAATTGAATTCCGAATCGAAGAGGATAAAGTCTCCTTTGGCATATCCCTCTGCATCGCCCATTACGGATATCATAATATTTCCATTGGCCAGACAGTGAGTGGTATGTGGACCCGTTACATTATGACTCTTCAACACACTGCCATCGATGGTCTTGATTATCTCCGGCTTTCGGGGATCCTTGACCACATCGAGTATATAGATAAAGTCTGAATTCAAGGCTGGCAGTACCAGTCGGTCCCTTTTTGGCACGCTTTTTGAGTTCTCATCAACGTAGTAGCAACTGGAACAGGCGTTCCAACCAGAATGATGTAGCTCATCACCTTTTCGATTTGTAAATGTGCGGTGAACAATCTTTAACAGAAAATATTATTAAAATAGTAAACTGTGGAAATGAAAATAAAGTAAAGAAATATGAAAAAATTGTCTAAAGAACTTCTATTTTTTCCAAATCCATAAGAACCATTTAAGTTAATGATAAATGAACTTAATCTTGTTTGCTCGCTACGTTGATTGAAATTGCTCATTAAGAATAGTGTCAGGTTTGGATGATACCTGACTTATTTACCTGACAGTAGGTGGGGCTCTCGGGATCCACATCGACTGTGGACAGATAATCGCCGTGGGGCTCATCCAAGTTGGGCTGAACGGTGACCGTGTAGAGGAGTTTCTCCCGGGGACCACTCCTCATCGCGTCTAGCGGGGTTGCGTAACCCGGTCCGCGGCAACAGGCTGCAGAAAAACAATTTAATTATCAAAATTGCTCGGGATTTGTATTCACTTTATCAAAGATTCGAGGCGTGTGTTTGTAATACAAAGTATATACGAGATTCCTACATTTATTCGACATGGCTTGGCGGTTGTTGTGGAACGAAGAACAGCGGCGGAATAAAAATCAGACGATGTTTGGCGAGAGTTTTATACTGGGGCTCTCTTCCCGGCACCATATATTTCTCTATATAAGCTTCAAATAATTACCAAAGAGAACCGGTTCGCCGGCTTTCTTATCACTAATACCACTTAGGTCAGTTACACTTGTGCATGTGTTTAGATTAAAAGTTATCTCTTATTGCTGAGCAAAGAAGTTCATAAAAATAAAACAAGAAAAATAAATATATAAAAACAAAAAATAAGCTGAATGCGATAGTGGAATTTGGTGGTGAAACTTGGGTGCTATTTTTTGATTGTTTTTCTTATTCCTTACTATTTAGGGAGGGAAACAAAAAATGATAAGGCGAACTTTTTAAGAAAGGAACTAACTAACGATTTAAAAAGGTTTTTAGATCTTTTTGATATCTGAAAGTCAATGAAATGCATTTTAAAAATCGAAACCTTCTTCATTTGGGAATGTCTCCGCTCGCAGAGTTAAGAACAAGACCAAAAATTTAAAAAGCGATTATTGAGAGAGTATTCGGGTGTATGAGGCGTTTATTATAACCATATTAATTCTTGTTTTCCTTTTACGCTACAATATCTTAGTCACACTAAATCAAACAATTTAAATTTGAAATAAGATAAGAAAACAGCGAACATGAATAAATTCAAAATTTTAGATCATTCCAAATGTTTAGTTCTTAGTACACCCTCCAGAGATAGCCAAGTCACCAACCTTCCGCAGCAGAGACACCCTCCTTGCATATCGATATATTGATGTCTTCATATTTATTGTCCATCCCTAAAAGCAACGCCGATTGCCAGGCAGGAAATATTTTAGCGCGTTGCGACGGACCAGTGAAAAAGCAATTGTAATCCTCGTGGTGGCCGATCAATCCGCAGCTTAGGAGCTCTATCGAATCGAGGACAGCATCCGCATCCTGGACAGCGTGCAGCCATGTCGCATCACTACGTGGTGACGGCGCAAAAGCCGACAGCGGTTGTTGCCTGTTTAACTGGTAAGTAGGGGCGCGGGGAGGGGTTCCCTATGTGGTCTCCCCGGCGAAAACAGAAACAAGCGTGCTTGCCGGTTGCCGGATTACACAAGCCAAAAGTAAATATGTTAGCTAAACGCCGACATCTCAACCTCCCACAGGCAACTTCACCTCGCCCACGGATCTCAATCTCATTATCGCCCGGAATAACCAGGTGGAAATTGATCTGGTCACGCCGGAAGGACTGCGTCCCCTGAAAGAGATCAACATCAATGGCACCATTGCCGTGATGCGGCACTTCCGGCCGCCGGATAGCAACAAGGATCTGCTCTTCATCCTGACGCGTCGCTACAACGTCATGATCCTCGAGGCTCGCATGGTCAACGACGTCATCACGGTGGTGACCAAGGCCAATGGCAATGTGTCCGATTCCGTGGGCATTCCCTCCGAGGGCGGTGTCATCGCGGCCATCGATCCCAAGGCGAGGGTCATCGGAATGTGCCTGTACCAAGGCCTGTTCACCATCATCCCGATGGACAAGGATGCCAGCGAGCTGAAGGCCACCAATTTGCGGTAACTTGGAAACTTATTCTGATCCACTTTTAAAACTCATTATAATTCATAATATGATGCCCTGCAAGAATGGATTCAATTAATTATTTTGAATTTTTTGTTTTATATGAATGAATTAATTAGAATTTTGAGCTTAATAGAATTGAATGAATTTGAATTTTGAGTTTAATAGAATTGAATGAATGAATGGCATGAATTCTGAAATAATTCAAACGACAATTTCTTTTGAAAAAGAAAGGCTCATAATTTTGTAATTAAATATGCCTGAATTTTATTTACTAAGCAGTTAACATAGATTTGTTACAAATTTTCCACTTTTTTTTTTAAAAAAAAAGCACAAAAAAATCCGACAAATTCAAGAAATCTTTTTTCATTCTTTTAATTTTAAATAAATTAGAAAAATATTTAATTTATTTCACATAGAATTGAATTAAACAAATCAGAAATTTCATGGCATACTATGATAAAGCAAAAATTGAATGATTCACGCAGGGCTCTATTTCATATACATCTGAATGGGTCTACGTAAACTTGTATTCCTTATCAGCAACTCCACATTTGCCGAAATAATATTTAATATATTGTAAAACTAATTTGTTGCACATAATTTATTTTTAAAATATTTATACATATTATAAATATTATTTATAATACTCCGAGTTCCTCTTTTCCAGAATGGATGAGCTGAACGTCTACGACGTGGAGTTTCTGCACGGCTGCCTCAACCCCACCGTCATAGTGATCCACAAGGACAACGACGGCCGGCACGTAAAGTCGCACGAGATCAACCTGCGGGAGAAGGAGTTCATGAAGATCGCCTGGAAGCAGGACAACGTGGAGACGGAGGCCACCATGCTGATCCCAGTGCCGTCGCCCATCGGCGGAGTGATCGTCATCGGGCGGGAATCGATTGTGTATCACGATGGGAGCAACTACCACGCTGTAGCGCCGCTCACCTTCCGCCAAAGCACCATCAACTGCTATGCTCGTGTGAGTAGCAATGGATTGCGCTATCTGCTGGGCAACATGGATGGCCAGCTGTACATGCTGTTCCTGGGCACCTCGGAAACGAGCAAGGGAGTGACTGTGAAGGAC